AGATATACCTTCCATATATATCTCCCAAAAATACATCCCATAAGACATTAGTGGCAATGGTGTCTTCTTATAGCTAATTTACCATTATGTGGGAGACATTTATGCCACACCCTATGTAATATATATGGTGATTGCCACATCTTACTCAGAGCCACCACCCCACACTTCACCTCACTTTTAATGGCTTCAATCTCGTTTCGGCGTCCATGAGCCCTAAGATGTCAGCATTCATTTTCATAAGTATCAGGCATATATATATATTTATTATATATATATATATTTATTTTTTATATATATATATATATATATATTATATATATATATATATATATATATATATATATATGTATATGGCAGATAAGCTCTGTATCCTTGATCGGGTTGATTGGATTTGAATGGCTTACAACTTTCCTATCAGATGATGATCTGCAAAGATTGTTTCAAACAACTCAAGTATTATTGACAGGGCGATGAGGCAGGTTAGCATAGTTGACTAAACACTGTACATGTTACGAATCACTTCATGTCAGACATTCTGTAAACAGAATGTGTATATTCTTTTATTCTAGATCCCGGATAATGACCAGATAAGGACTTGTACTAAACAGTAATTAAGTAATAATAAAAATTCATGGTCCTTATGGATTCTGATCTTAATTGATTGGCGGTGTCATCATGCACCTGCTTTGTCTCAGCGAATTAATATAGACTGTAGTAAATATCACGTTCGGTGACAAGTCCTGAATATGACGATAAACTACATCCGGCAGCAAGGCCATTTTTCAGAAGATTGGAGATTTTGAGGAACGTGGAAACCACCTCTTAATAGCTCTTATTCCGAGTTTCACCCTGAACCGAAGTCGTAGCACCTGTTAGGGTCCTAGCTATTTGCAAAGAGGGTTACTGATTGAGGTTGGTAAGAATTGCAGTTTATGAGGATATGTAGGATAGATAACTGTTAAGATTGTGATCGAGAAAACATCCCCCCCTTGGTTTCACAAAGTAGTAATTCTTGAGAAGAAACTATCCGAATGTCCCTCTTCCAAAGGGGATATGGATGATTCGTTCCGCTGTCCTTGGCAGTGAAGGTCAAAAATGGCAGAGTTACTAAAATAGTATAAATGCTGTCAAAAAAACCTCCCAGTAGAAAAGAGTTTAAGAAAAATGACTAACAGATAATGTTAAACAAATACATACAGACACACAGGTCAGTTGCTCCATACTTTTGGCCTTGTGCCACATCTAAGTTACACTTAGAAAATCAACATAGGGGTCAAATGAGGAAAAACTATTTCCCGAAAGTCGCCACTCCCCGTCTCGCTATCTGAACCGAGTCCTCTCTTGAAAACCGGAAATGCTTAGAAACGTAGTCGCTATAGCTGACCAAAAAAAAAAAAAAACTCGCCAGACACACTCCTCTAATTCAATCTTTCACATGCAAAACTTCCCCTCCCCCTGCACATACAGTGTAACCCGGATATAAGAGAATTGTCGGGACCGGAGAAGTCTCTTATATCCGGGTTTGGTCTATTTTGTTTAGGTAACACAGGCTCTAATTTGGGACCAGAGAAAATCTCTCTTATATCCGGGTTTCTCTTATATCCGGGTTACACTGAACAAAGATCGTTAACATGTTAGCCTTCTTCAAAGTCTTTTTTTATACATTCGATGCAATGTCAATTTGTTGATACCTTTGAATTCGTATATTTTTCTCTAAAAAAAAAAAAAACTAAATAAAATATAAAGTAATAATAGTCTTTAAATTGTTTAAAACAAACAAACATAAACAGCGTTAGTGGGTGAATTTCAGGGAGTCACGTTTTGCTGGATCTGGGACCTAAAATGAAGACTAAAGTTGTCCTCTTGGCTTTAATCTACGATATCGCTACTGAGTTATCACTTTTTATAAATCATCACTGTTATTATGCAGGCACGGTGGAGTAATGGATTGAGGCTCGGACTGAGGAATCGGGGAGCCGAGTTCGAATTCACTTACGCGCTAATACCCTTGGGAAAAGTATGAATCCTCTTCTTCTAAAAGGTTCTAGCAGGACAGACTGGGTTGCCTTGGGTGGCAACTGGTCTACCGCAGAAAGAAATGGCAACATCTGTCTCATGTATTAATTTTCAAAATAAATCAGAAAACTTCATTTTCGCCCCCCGAAACGCCTAATAATAATAAGCCAATTTCATGCATAATGTGACCACTGAATTTTTTGGCATGAATTTTAACCGCTCCAGAAAAATATTTACCTGCGTATTTTTGTTTAACATCTTCAAAAAAAAAATTACGTGTTTAGTGCAACCCCCTTATTTCTTAAGCAAGAGGGGGGGCGTAAAAACATCATAAAAACTCGCACTATGCAAGAGTATATATGGTATATGCGGAAAAGGTTTGTAAGTTTCATCCCAGAAAATAAGTAGAAGCGAAAAAAAAATAAATAAAAATAATTTGAAATCAAAACGACAAAAAAGTTTTCAGTAGGATAATAAATCTAAAAAAAAAAAAAAAAAATTAAAAAACTAATTTTATGAGTGGATCAAAAAAAACCCATCTAGAATGAGGAATCTTTAAAAGTTAACATCTGATTTAAACCTCCATTCTCCTCTAACCATCATACTTTATTTTGGAGATCCCTCAGCAGCACCAGTAACATGTTTCCAAGCTCACCGACACACAAACACAAACCTTCAGAACAGTAACTACTGTTTATCTGACAATTCAAAGCTTGTTTGTCTGTGCAACGGATTCTTTTCCTCCTTTGTTGTTAATTTTTCACTCTTTCTCCGTTCAATTACTCTACTGGCACAAGGACACGGCTATGGAGCACTTAGTGAATATCAAATTCTCTCAACTGTCTTATCTCCCAGCGAGGCGTCCAATTTAGTAAGCTTAGCACTCGGTGAGAATCGAACTAACAAGCTGCCAAAAACAAACCAATTAACCTTTTAGTCCATATGCCAAAGTGTTTAATAGGCATTTAATTCGTTTAAATTGGCACTAGCCTACAAGTATAGAGAACTAAATGATAATCAGACTGACTAGTATATAGTCACTGATCTTTTATCCCGCGGCGGATGAGATTCAAATGTTGTTTCCTTAACGAAGGAGCTATTCTCTCATGTCACACGTCAACGTTCGATTCCGTAAAAAGGCCAAATTCTCATGTATTAGTTTTTAGTTAAAATTGGACATTTTCTCTCGCTCCGAAGTCGTCGCCTCAACTGAAATAAACGCTGAATCCCCTCTTCCTCGTGGAATAGTCGCCACATTTATATATATATATATATATATATATATATATATATATATATATATATATATGTGATAGTCGCGTGTTCGATCCTGTCACCATTATTGTTCCATTCATTAACTTCTTAGCCATATGCAATCCTCGTCCAAGCCCTGTTCGTAATCGTGTGTTGACATTAACATTTGAGAAAATTGCGCCGAACGATCCAAAGTGTACAAACCTAGGTTATACAGTTGCAGTTGAAAAGAGACAGACACACACTCTCTTTGTGTCACTTTTATATTATATATATATATATATATATATATATATATATATATAAATGCGAGCATGTATATATAAAATGTGCGTGTCTTTGTTTCTCTGATTCTTTGAGTTATAAAAAAAATGTGGAATTATATTGTTACGGCATTAGAAGATAACTATTATTATTGGTAAAAGTTGTGGATTATTTTTTTAATAAATAGTTATTTGACGACAAAAAAAAAAGCGAGTCTCTTCCTCACCCAGCAAAAAAGAAAAAAATATAATAACCAAGAAGACCTGTAAACCATAAAGAGGATTTTATGTCGGGGTGCAGGTTAAGGAGCTTCTTCTAGCCTTTTCCCGCTCTACATAAAGATAACGGTCAGTCTACATTTTATACCGAAGGTGACTACACCAGTGCTTCTTTACATGCATACATACATACAGTTCGCGGTTAGAAATCTTTTAATTTAATGTTTAATACTTTGCCACATGGCGCGCGCTTGCATTCATGTAGTACACACACACGTACATAAAGGGTTATTCCATTCAAAGAGTAATGTCCAGTTTTGAAATGTTGTCATCGATGTAGGTGTAGTCAGTAATATTTAGAGATCCTTCGGCAAATGTTTTCGTATAACGTTTTTGTGTACAATATACGTGTTTCAGTTTCTATATAAACCACACACACACACACACACTTTTGTACATGTACAAGCGTCAGCATGATCGTTTCTTTCCTTCAAATCCCTCCCCCACCTCGATACGATGTTCATTTATTACGGCACGTTTTATCAATTTTCAAATAATTTTTTTCTTTCCTTGGCACAATTATTTTGTCACACGTTTATTAAACACGTACAAATTTCCGGCGGGACATTTATTTCAGCTAATATACTTATTTTATAAGTTGAAAAATTTCCACCGGCTGGTAGCAGACGGCAGTTGTACTTTCTACAAAAGACTAAGAGTCTCTAATTACATGTCTGAGAGGGTGCTGAAAACTTTACGGCTTTACCTATTTCCAAATACCTGACCAAATAGCCAATAATAAAATATTTTATTTTTTATGTTACTTATTTTATTTATTTATTTATTTTTTTTAGATTTTAGATCAAATGCTTATCCGAAAAGTTTTCAGCACCCCATTATACATCCAGTGTGTGTGCATGTCTCTAAAATGTGTGTGTAATGTGTGGACAAACACCTACATTCACATATGCATTTTGCAAAAATCTAGATCGATCGTCTGATTGATTAACCTCAGACTGATTGATTGTAAAGATTACTGATAATCCTATATTGCTTGTCCCAGAACAGCGTCATATTTAATCTTTATTATAATTATTATTGATGATACATACTCAGCTTGGCTTACTTACGGCACAAGGAAAGATTATACTGCGCCAATGTCACCTTTTGTTGAGAACACCAACCAGTGAAAAATGGGTAACTAAATTATTTTTACAGTAATACTGATATTCTCTTGTCTTCCAGGGCTTACGGCCACATCACATTGAAACACCGATTCCCGTACGACCACTGAAGTTAAGCAACGTCGAGTGTGGTCAGTACCTAGATGAGTGACTGCTGGGAATACTAAGTGTTGTAAGCTGGGATGTGCAGGTGGTGTAATGGATAACAGTTGAAATTTGTTAATCGGAGAGCCGAGTTTAAGTTCCAGGTGGATTCATTATATTCACTAACGCGCAAATACTCTTGGGAAAGGTATAGATCCACCTCTTCTCCCCCAGCTATAGATTAATTAGTAAAACTTGTATCACTAAACCATTATTATCTCCAAAAATAAAATTACGCATAAAATATTTAGATATCGGTATTAAATAACCCATTGAGGTGTTGATATGCCGCTAATCAAAAAGAAACCAACCGATCTTCCAAGAAACCCCTGCCGTAAGGCCTTTCAAAAATTGTATTAATATTATTATCCATAGCCTACCAGACGTTTTACCTGTTCGTACCATTAATAACGAGTAGACAGCTTACTGGGGATTAAGTGACAACAAGTTTCTCATATACTTGAGCACTCTTAGTATTCGAGCTCTTTTCAATGATGCTGTCTTCTGGATGATCCCAACTCCTCCTTTGGTTTTCAGTTCCTCCAGCCTTTTCCCAGGGTACTTCGTAATCGTTTCCACGACGACTGTGACACTAGTACTTTATTAGTAAAAGAAATAGGTTGATCCTCTTGGTAGCTAAGATAGTTGCCTATTTCATCATCAGCGCCAGTCGTTGGTTTTTGAAACAGGTAAAAGACAGGATGAAGCTTACTGAGGAGAAAGGTGAGTGTGTCATTAAATAAGACATTTGAAACTAACCCTTTATGGAGGTGGTTGTGGAAAGTACTACGTAGTGTTACATATTGCTTTTTCAAGCTGAGCTTCGCTTAACACTGTGTGCGTGTGTGTTTCTGTTTGTATATTATTATTATTATCATTATTATTATTATTAACTACTTCGAAATACGGCGTTTCGGTCGTTGTCCGCTCCGGCCTTCTAGAGTGTGCGACAATGCGTACAACGGCCGAAACGTGGTCAATGTGACAATATAGGTGAGGACAACAGTCTGAACAATGTAAATAGTTACAATACCTCATCTCAGAAATATAGACAAAGAATATATTTAATCAACACAAAATAGAATGATGACATTAAAACCTGAAAGGGGCAAAAATATTCCAAGAAATACATAGAACAAATATCGAAGAATTTAAATAAAAGATTATATGAAAATAAAAGGCATCTTTTACAAAACAATACAGTCAATGCATGAGTTGTTTATTTTCAGTAAATGGTCTGAACTGTAATTTCAGCTTAAAGAAAGCAGTTTCGACTAAAAGAGAAAGTAAGTTATTAACCCATTAACTGCCAAATTTTTTTAATGCGCATTTTTGGTCAAGTCAGGTGTCTTAGGAGTTTATTTATTCTTTATGTTTAATTTCAGTAGTTACCATTGTCATTTTTATAGAAACTAGAACATCAAATATATATGTGTATAAAACATCAAAAAATAATATTGATTAGAAATAATAAAAAAATACTTTTCAAAATAGTCATTATTTTTCTACTCGTGAAATATAAAATTACGACAGAAAGTGTCTTCTTACGGATAATAATAAAAACTTTAAAGGCTAAGTGTTGTAAAATATACCTCTGCAAATGCAATGTATGTAAGCAATTCAATGTAAACACAAGGAATAAGATGGAGTGAGTTTAATTTTAACAGATCCCCAAATGGGGCTCATGGCAGGTAATGGGTTATGGTGATGATATATTGAAAATGTGCTAATTTCTGCTGATCAATCTGGGGTAATTAAGCCTAAAAGCGATTAAAAAAAAATCAAACGATAAGAAACTGAAGTTCTAAGCTAAATATTTTGATACACCAGACGTCAAAATTCAAATTTAAAGCTGAGCATCTCTATATTTTTCTAGTTTCCATATAAACTGGAACTGGTTTTTATTGTAATTATCTTCCCACGTTTCATTAATTTTACATATAAAACTGATTCCATCAGTAAAGCCGTTATTCGTCTGAAGAAGTCCTTTCTCGGAATGAAACGCGTCGCTAAGACGTTTTTCCCATTTTATCATTCACCTATCCATCATCATTATTATTATTACTGTTATTATTATTATCAAATATTTCTTTGGTACAGTATTATTCTCACAAGACCAAATAAGAAGCGCGAGAAAGAATGTGTTGCGTCAATCTTCCGAGTAGAAAAGACCTTGTCGCCTTTAAAAACATCAGAAATTCACTAAAAATCAACATTTCCAAATTTTAGCTTTTACCTCAGTCTGAATCATGCTGTTCGTTTTAAATATGTTAAGTTAGTAGTTTACCTTTTGGTGCTATCAATCTGAGTTCGGGTCCGGATAATACCAGGAGGAAATAAAAAAAAAATCCATCCTCATAACAATTCTGGTAACACATTTTTGGAGTGCTTACAATTTAAAAAAAAATCTCCTTTAAAACATGAAAAGACAAAAAATTATTTAACTTAAAAAAATGTGTTATATATTTTAACTTAGTCTGGCACAAAGGCAAAAAAGAGTTAGTAAGATTATGCTGCGCCAAATCTTCACAGTTCTGACAGTTTTTAAATCTTAGTTTTTCCTGCACGAGCCACTGTCTCTTATGTGCAGTTATTTTACAGTTAATACTTGTAAGTATCTGAGCGAGTAAGTGTCTGAAGATTGGTTTCTGTCAAGGTTGACGATACAGGTAACAGCCTTTTACTGTTACTGCCTATGGACGAAAGGTTCGTTCAGGTGCTTATTCGCTCACATAAACTTTTCTCCGTCAAGCATTGTGGCATATCAATGGCGAAATATTTTGTCACGATGTCTTAAAAAGGGACAGGAAAACCTTGAATTCATGCCTGTATGAAAATATTCGTGCGGGTGGTCGCACGAATACACGCAACCTTAGCTGCAATACGATTTTGTGTGGCCAGTTTCGCTTTCCATATTAAAACCCTAACACTAGAGTTACTCACACACACACACACACACACATATAAAGGAGCAAAAAACAGTTTATGTAACTGCACACAACCTGGGTTTCGACTGTCAGGTCTCTTCAGGTGGCGGGCAATAAGTGTTCGTAATACCATATTACTAATAAATATATATATATATATATATATATATATATATATATATGGGGGGGTGCAGTCATATTTATTTACTTAACTTATTTTTTGTTAAGCACAAAGCCTAATATCCCGACTGAGGATTGAACTTAGGAGTACTACTCAGTAGTAAAGACAGGTTCGTCGCCAGAATGTTTTACACTAAAATTAGTTCACATCGTTTACTTTTCATAGAGACGGTTTTAGTTGGGTGGACCCCCTCTCCCTTTTTGACACCCCCCAAAGGCTCCCTGGGGCGAAAGACCTGAGTAATGGTTTTCTACATCAGCATGCTATTGCCATCTGGCGAGATGTATTCTTAGCTTAGCTAGGACTGGCACCAAAATATAAAGGCACCCAGTGAGGAATTGGACACAATACAGTCGTCATATGTCTGTGAGACCAACCTGCTAACCATTATTCTATGGTGAGAATCTCACTCACTCACACACAGACACACACACAGACACACACACACACACACAAACTCACTTTCTTCACAAATTTACATTTGCATTATAAATTTTAACTTGAGTATATATTCTTTGGTTGAGCAAAAGGCGACACAGTCAATGTACACATCCGAAACAAAACGACATGGCTGCTTCTTCTGTGTATAAAAATGAATGATAGTCGTTTAGAAACTCACACTTGTAAGAGGCGACAATCCACCCATTCGCCTTATTTATTTGTTCTTTTGCTTTTCATACCAATGCACACTTAACACACGCTTGCCTCGGCTCCGATCACAGCATTTTTTCCCCTTTACGCTATCTACACTTTCTATACAATTTGATGTAAATATTTTCAGCTAGAAAAAGATTCTCCACAAATGTTAGTCGTGCCTTGTATGTGCGTGTGTCAGTTTCTCGATCTAAAACACACACACACACACACGCGCGCATGTTAGCATTTTTATTTATTTTTTTTAAGTGTGATTTTTTTCTTTCTTCTTTCTTTCTTTTTTTGTCAACTCCAGTCCAGCTTTACAGATTATCGAAATAAACGTCTCCCCCCCCACCCCCGGCCACCCCGTCTTCATTCTTTCACTATCAATTTCTATTGGCGATTGGCCTGTTTTATTTTATTGGTTGTGGACTGTCGAATTTTTAATAGGGGTTTCTTTCTTTTTGTCCCTCCTCTCTCTTTCTCTATTCTCTTTCTTTCTTTCTTTATCCCTCCTTCTCTATTTTTGTCTTTCTCTCTATATATATCTCTCTCCTCCCTCTCTCTTTTTGTCTTTCCCTCTCCTTTTCTCTCTTTCTCTCTTCTTCTCTCTCCTCTTTCTCTCCTCTTCTTCTTCTTTTTCTCTCCTTTTCTTTTCTCTTTCTCTCTTCTTTTCTTTCTCCTTTTCTTTTTCTCTTTCTTTCTCCTTTTCTTTTTCTCTTTCTTTCTCCTTTTCTTTTTCTCTTTCTTTCTCCTTTTCTTTTTCTCTTTCTTTCTCCTTTTCTTTTTCTCTTTCTTTCTCCTTTTCTTTTTCTCTTTCTCTCTCTCTTCTTTTATTTTTCTCTCTCCTTTTCTTTTTCTCTTTCTCTCTCTCTCTCCTTTTATTTTTCTCTTTCACTTCTTTTTCTCTTTCTCTCTCTCTCTCTCTGGCCTTTGTGGCCTAAGTATGGCACATAACTCAATCGAAGTTAACGGTACACAGCTGTCACAGAAAAATCTTAAAGACTAGGCAGTCGTCTATATTGTTTAGGATCTTTCTCTTTCCTACACACTTCAGATAGATCTTAATTCGGATAATTTTAAAATGTTCCGATCCATTCTCGTACTTAACAAAGGAAGGATGGAACTCGGGCTTACAAATATCAATAATGGTCACAAATTTTTACAGACTTTTTTCTATGGGAATAGCAGAAGCAGTATAATGCAGAAAACTGGTTTGACTGTAATTTTTATTATTAATTAAAAAGAACAGGAAATGTATGTTTGCTTTTTGAAATTTTTCTCCTCCA